CAGGGATATCGGCTCGGTGCTTTGTGACCGCCTGGAGGGGTGGGATAGGGAGGGTGGGAGGGAGGGAGACGCAAGAGTGAAGAGGTATGAGAACATATGTATATGTATAACTGATTCACTTTGTTATAAAGTAGAAACTGGCACACCATTGTAAAGCAATTATACCCCAATAAAGATGTTAAAAAAAAAAATTCACTTAGTGGTACCCAATGAGCAAACAGTTTGGCCTGAGGAGTCCAAGATGGCTTCATTTCACATGCCTTGGCTGGAAGGCTAGGCCAACTGGGACTGTTGCCTGGAATGCCTACACACAACCTCTCCAGTCTGGCAGCCTTGGCTAGAGTAGTAGGTCTCCTTACATGGCAGCTCAAGTCTCCTAGAGAGAGTGTTCCAAGATACAGAAAGTGGAACAGAGTCATTTCTGCCATAGTCTACTGGTCAAAAAAGTTCCAGTGCTCAACCAGATTCAAGGGGAGGAGTCATAAACAGGCTGGAGTCATGGCTGTGTGACCCTTTGAAAAATCTCAAGTGCAGCTGCATAGAAACCTGAACTCAAAAGGAGTTCATGCTTGGTTTATTGTTGTCTTGAAATTCTTTATAATTTTTGAACAAAGGGCACTACATTTTCATTTTGAACTGGGTCCCACAAATTATGTAGCCTGTCCTCATCATAAACCTCACCTTTCAATAGATAGAGTATTAAAAATTTTGTAGCCATCTTTAACGGGCCATAAGCTGCCTGCCAGAGACTTCATTCCACACCATAGTTCTGTATTCAAAATTATCCTTTCAAAATGAAGACTGATGTTTGTGGGTTAAATTCACCATAAAGAAGGGAAACAAATTATGAGGTTGGAAACTGGAACAAATTCTGTGATAAGTTTAGGATTAATAAATATGTTGGAAACCAACACTGAGTATCTGCTGGCACCCTGTAACTGGTCACCTCTGGGCTCACTCACTCAGTTATGTCACTTAGGCATTAACCAACAGTTATCCAAGATCAGTATGTGTGCTGAATTTATACATATTGTCCTTGATGAGAAAGACAGCCAGTAATCACTATATAGAAAGGAGTCTCCATGGTCTCAGCAAACCTGGATTTGTTTTGGGGGGGTATCTGCAAAACTATGTAAAGGTTATTAGGGAAGGCAGTGACAACTCCTATGCTTTTTGAGAACCCCAGCCACATCTGACATCTCTTTGGGTCATCAGTCATTTGCACTGCATTATGTTCTCAGCAGGAGTTCAATATGATTGCTGGTGATGAATCTAAGCAACAAATGGCATCATAACAATAACAACTACCAAAAACCAAGATGAATAGAATGGGGACACAATTAATGGAGAACAAGGTCAGGAAAAGTTAAGTACAGTATTTTGCACAAAGGCAAAGATTATTGAATTGAAAATATTGATATGATAAACTCTTGAAAGGTATTATTATCCAGGGAAAGTTTCTTAGAGAAAGAAGCTAGACTTTGAAAGAAATGAGGGTTGGCAGAGTACTGAAAGGAAATAGAAACTACATTGGTATGAGGACAAGAAGAAAATCAGCCCAACTAGGGTGGAAGGACGTGGGTAGACGGATGTTACTGGATAAATTAGAGGTGAGGAAAGGAGAGTCATTGCTCCAGGGCACTGGTCCTAGGCTCCACAAGTTATGGGAAGTTACTGTAGTTTGCTACTGGTTTGGAGGGAATGAGTGATGGCTTTTTATTTTAGTATGCAAGTATAATAGTGGAAGTCTCCAGCTGATGCACATTCCAAAGGAGGTGGCAGAAACCTAGTGAATGATTCCCTGAACCACTGATCCACATTGAGGGTACAAGTATTAGAAGCTGGTGATCAGAAAGGACTTTAAAAGAGAGGAGTTCTTGAGATACTTGATGGTGGGAATGTTTCCCCTTATCTCAGGAGACTATTTGAAGAAGTTAATATGTATCTCTTGGAGTCTGAAGAACACAGTGGCCTGGTATCTGATTCCCTCCTGAAGAAAATTTATAGGGTAAAAGAAAGGATGACTAGCTACTTTGATGGAGGGAGTGAGAACTGGCCTGCATTCCCAGAGTTCTTTGAGGTGAAAATGTGTTTCCTGTTGTGGTAGATGTTGTGATGCCTGAAAGACTTGTTCCTCCAGCCACTGGAAGTGATGCCAGCAGACAGTCCTCAACTGTCAGTCTCCTAGGGGATTGCTTTGGCTGAAGAAAGCTGATGACTGTCTGGTATGGGGGTACAAAGTCCCAGCCCCCCACCCCAATTTAGAACAACTCTGCAGAGCTATCCCAGGATCAGAACTCCCTGTAGATTGGCTAAGGTCTCTGCTGAGGCTGCAGCAAAGCTCAGCTTCTCCTGCTGACCAATTTTGCTTCTTTCCCTTCCTTTCTACGGGTGTTGATCCCAAGGACACTCCCAAATAAACATCTTGCATGGTTATCTCCATTTCAGAATTTGTTTCCCAGGAAACCTGACCTGTAACACCTGTAGATCAGATATGGACCCCACCAGTAAGTCAACTAGCATGAATTATCTTGGGTCTGTCCAAGTGGGACCCTGTAGGGAGGAATAAACATCAGTGGACAGGATCCTTAAAGTATCACTGAATTCCTTACAGCTGGGGAAGCAGTGAGCACCAGCTGGAATATAGCTGCACCAGCCCAGGTCGAGAAAACTGAAGATTAAAGATTTCCAGTTATGAGGGGGAGAGAGTCTTTGAAGAACTTACAAAACTATCTCTGAGAAGGGCCAGTTTTAACCGTTTGCCAAGTCCAAAGAGCACAAACATCCAGTTCACAGCAGTGTCAATCAAATAAAACCTTTCCCTCCCCTCTCCTGTCCTCCTTCCCAGGGCTCCAAACCTGGAGAGGTTAGAAACCCGGCGGAGGGGCAAGAACACAAGGTACCATAAGAGAGAAGACGCCAACCCCACACTTTTCTTGACTTAAAAGTTTAAAACTGTTTTCCCATCTCTCTCCATTTTTCATGATATCCCTCAAATACTGTCATAGTCTATCCTTTCCTTGGTGAGATGCCCCATATTCCTGTGAAGTGCTGTCTGCAGTGTCCCTTGTTGCAAAAACTCAAAACCTCACCTTGTCCGTAGGCCCTGACGTAGCGCACTGGTGGAACTGCGCGACCGCCACGCTGCTCACTGCGCCCCGCGCGCTCCGCTCTCACTCCCAGCCCAGCCCTGCTGCCCCGCCCCATCCGTTCCGCTCCTCTGGCTCCGCCTAGCCACCCTGCCCCGCCCCGTACTACCCGGCTGCCCCGCCCCATCCCTGTCGTCCGCCCACTAGCCCTCCCCTTCTCGATGCGCTCGCCCCGCCCCTTCCTGCTGCCCCGCCCCATCTCCCTCGTCTGGTCCCGCCCCCTCCTGGTAACCTGGTGGCAAGGAGCGGCGGCCGCCGGCGCCATGGGGACTGCCTCGTCGCTCGTGAGCCCCGCCGGCGGGGAGGTGATCGAGGACACGTACGGGGCGGGCGGCGGCGAGGCCTGCGAGATCCCGGTGGAGGTGAAGCCCAAGGCCCGCCTGCTGCGCAGCTCGTTCCGCCGGGGCGCGGGGGCGGTGGCCGGGGTCGGGCCGGGTTCGCTGCCCCGCGGGGCGGGCGGCGGCGGGCTGCTGGGGGCCAGCTTCAAGTCCACTGGCTCGTCCGTGCCCGAGCTGGAGTACGCGGCGGCCGAGTACGAGCGGCTGAAAAAGGAGTACGAGATCTTCCGGGTCAGCAAGAACCAGGAGTTGTTATCCATGGGCCGCCGCGAGGCCAAGCTGGACACGGAGAACAAGCGGCTGCGGGCAGAGCTGCAGGTAACGCCGGGCCCGGGCGCTCACCGGAGACGGCCGCGACACCCGGGAAACTGAGCCCCGGGGCCGCCTGCCCACTGCCCCGCAGCCTCTTGGCCGCACTGCCAGTGGGACCCCTGGACGCCTGACTGCTCTGCATTTTAATTTGAGGGGACGTACTGTCTTGGCGTCTAAACTGATTCCTTAACTAACCGCCCCCCCCTTTTCTATTTCTGGTCCATTCATTCAGATGCCTTGAAGCAATTAGCCTGGAAGTGTCCTGAAGCAACAAATGCTAATCTCCAGAGAAGTAGGTCCACACGGGGCACACATATACACCAAAGACTTTGGTGACATCTGTTGAGGAAACTCATCAAACCCTTCCTAGGAGTTTTTAACCACGCCTTGCCCTCCCACCCCTCCACCCCCCCACAAATTTACATACCTCGGAGGTGGGGTTTCTGGCTCAGTTTCTTTTTTTTTTTAATTTTTTTAAAATTTATTTTTTTTTATTCTTTTTTTAAATATATTTTTAAATTTATTTATTCTTGTTTTTTTGGCTGCGTTGGGCCTTTCTTGCTAAGAGCGGGCTTTCTCTAGTCAGAGGCAAGGGTGGGGGCTACTGTTCATCACCGTGCGCAGGCTTCTCACTGCCGTGGCTGCTCTTGTTGTGAAGCACGGGCTCTAGGCACGCGGGCTTCAGTAGTTGTGGCACACGGGCTTCAGTAGTTGTGGCACACGGGCTTAGTTGTTCCGCAGCAGGTGGGATCTTCCTGGACCAGGGCTTGAACCCGTGTCCCCTGCACTGGCAGGTGGATTCTTAACCACTGCGCCACCAGGAAGCCCCTATTTTCGTTTCTTTGTGAAGTTCCATAGCTGTTGGATTTCAGTGATCTTGAAGTGAATTTTTCTGGCAGTCCCTGATTTTCACCACCTTAACTGCTGTGGTTGAAAATGTTCCATAGGTATAGTCAAATTTCCTTAATCCACTTGATTAAATTACTCTAAAAACAATTATTACATGCCCTTCCTGTAATAGATCTATTTTAACTGATTATTAGGAAAGTTATTTTTTTGTGAGCAAAGGCGTGAGACTTTGTGTCATCAGTTTGGGGCCCCTCTGAGGGTTGTAGTTTGTTTACTCTATTTTTCTTTACTATGGAAGAGACTTCTGGACAGCCCAAGTGTTCCTGAGCTCATTACTGGAGGAATAGAATAAATACCTCAGACCTGATTTTTCTAGAAGGAAGAAACCTTCTTCCTTCTAGACTAGTCCTTCTAGTCAATCCCTCTCCACCCCTACCCCACCCCCATTAGCTGTTGTATAATTAGCAGTTATCTGAGAATACATAAGCAGCTTTATCTGTTGTCTTACAGATTTTCCTATTGGGCAGTCTTAATGCACTTGCATATATGAAGTGGACTTATGCATTTCAGATATCTGATTTCATGCCTCCAAGCCATTGTCTTGGATTCACTGCATATTGCAAAAGACTGAGGTGGAGGTAGAAAAGAAAGCCAGACCAACCAGGGTAGAGTGCACTAAGTGTTGACAAATGTCTCAGTCCCAGGTTATTTCCTGTTACCAATCCTGATTCCTTATGTAACCCTTTTGATTCCTTTCTCACATATCTAGACATTTTTTAGAAACCTTCTGTATTTATTTAATCCATTCAGTCAGACATTTACTGGAAGCCTGTCGTGTATCAGGCACTGCTAGTGCTTGGGGCTAGCAAGAGGAGTAAGACATGGAGCCAAGGAGTGCACAGTCTCACAGAAGTAATTATCCTTCAGGTTAAGCCTTACAAGTTGTACTTTTTGTTCTCTTAAAGATGGGAAAGCTGAGGTGTAGTGAAGATTAAGAACTAGTGCAGTATTTCAAAGAAAAAGCATTAATTTCCATTGAAAGCTTAATGTCAAATATCTTCATTTATAATTCAAGCATATTTGCATTTTTTTTCCATTATGTGTTTGAATAGAATGGCAATATGCAGTTCTTGATAACTGGTGAAAAAGTAAGTAGATTGTTAAAATTCTAAGATATTTAATATATATATAAGATAATGTAAAATTTGGGAGGCATGCTATTTTTGTTATAAATAACGAGGTAAATTATTCCAGGCACTTCAGAAAACTTACCAGAAGATACTTCGGGAAAAGGAAAGTGCTTTAGAAGCAAAATATCAAGCAATGGAGAGAGCAGCTACATTTGAACATGACAGAGATAAAGTTAAGAGGCAATTTAAGGTAAATTTCATACATCTTTATCCCCAAAGTGATATGGAATAAAAGCAGTATATTTTAAAAGTTCATATAATACTGTGATGAATAGCCAGAAGAAAATGATGTAGGAGCCATGAAAGTTATAAGAACTAAACTAAAGCACTTTTTACATTTTTGAGTTGGACGAGGTAAACTTAAGGTAGTTTCAAAGAAAAGGTATAAAAGTGAACATTTTAATAGGGATTTGGGGGGGAGCGGGAAAGGAAAGTGTTTCTATTAGGGGAAAGCATTTAGAATGTTTGGGGATGTTTTCTATGGATAAGCATTACTGGCATTAAATGGGAGGGGGACAAATTTGCTAAACATCAGGTAGCACACAAGGCAGCTCCACACTACAGACACACATCCTGCTGGAATTCCAGTGGGTTCCAGTTACAAAACAGTGATGTAGAGGTACTCAGATTATTCATCCTACGAAAGGGGAGATCAAGGACCAAATGAATATTGATTTTGTGAAAGAAAGAATTTTCTCTTAAAAGTTGATGGTACAATTTTTGATTATGGAAAACGGTTTCAAAATTAAAATCCTTCTTTTAAAGATTTTTAGGGAGACCAAGGAAAATGAAATTCAGGATTTATTGAGGGCCAAGCGAGAGTTGGAGAGTAAACTTCAGAGGCTACAGGTTCAGGGGATCCATGTATTTGATCCTGGAGAGTCTGATTCAGATGACAACTGTACAGATGTTACTGGTAAATTTATTTCCTATATATAATATTTTGAGATTTCAATATAGGTATAATGATTATAGAGCCAACTTTGAATCCTTTTACTTATAAGTAATTGCTGTTACAAATAGAGTTGCACTTTCTCTTTCTCAGTTGTTATGACAGCTCTTTTCTATGAAGTCCATGATGTAGAGGCTGAGGTTCCTTCTCTCTCATTGTTCTACCAACCTTAACCCATAGCTTTTCTCTCTCTGGTCTAAGCCCCTCTAAGTCCCAACATCACATCTACAATTTAGCCAGGGGGAGGGAGGGAATACCTTACTTTCCTTGAAAGCACAATCTGAAAGATATACAGATTACTCCTACTCAAACCCCATTGGCCAGAACTCTACCTAGGAAGATGGGAAAGTGTAATCATTAGCGGGAGAGCCATGTATCCACATAAAATTTGGGGTTGTGTCACTAAAGGAAGAAGGGAAGAATGGATGTTGGAGGACAGTAGTCTCTGTCACATTATTTTTCCACATAATTGATATATTCTTTACAACTATCAGAATATCTGCATAATATTTCACTGAGTGGTTTCCAATGCAGTTTTGTGAAATACTTTTAAAGTTTTTGTTTTACAATTAAACATAGAAAGTGTTTTTTCTAGAAATAAAGAAAAACTTGGAATCATAGACTGAAAGGGTCCACTGTGTTCCAAGGAAATAATAATGAAGTGTGATTGATTTTGAGAAATATTCTATTTTAAATGCGGTGGAAAAATGCAGTCACTCTACCATTTATTAAAAAAACTATAATTATATTCTTACAAACTGATGTGTTTTGGAGTGAAATATGGCAACTAGCATCCTGGGACTTTTATTACTAACTTTTGAGAAAAAAAAGTGAAGTGATTCTTAATGGCATTAGTCCTCGTGATTATTTCAGTATTGACATATGTTAAAATGTACAGGGTTTCAAAACTATTATATTCTAATTCTCTTAGCAAGTTAATAAAAACGGGTTAATATTTCCTCATAGGTCTTTCTTCCTATTTCGATATAAACATGAAGAAGGAATGCTTGAGGGAATGTCACTCATTATTTGTCACCCACAAATAATAATCTCAGTTTTGCCAGAGATTTAGCCCAAATACCAGTTTACTTATGTTTAGTCAAGGATGCCATGAATTATTATTTATTAAAAAGAAATCAACGTGTTCATAAGTACCTGTTGATTCAGACAATTTTTTTTGCTCTGAGAGGTTAAAGAAAATGTGCTCTTTACATCCTTAGCTTACATCCTAATGAATTACCAATATTAATTACTGGTGTGCCAGTAATAGTCTTCCTTTGAAATTCTTTCCTTCACATTTTACACTGATACCTAAATCATATAGTTAGGAATGTTTTTTAGAATTTTTTTGTTGGGGGGTGTTTTTAACTCCTCT